GACATAATTTGTAAAAGGTAACAAAGATACAAAAATGTAAAAAACAAAGTTACCTTACAATGGTGAGTGATGTTTTAAAAAAATTGGGGGTGCAAAAAATACATTTAAGAGGGGACAAATTGAATTTTTTGATATAAATAGTAAAAAAAATAAAATTTGAGGGGGGGCAATTGCCCCCCAATTGATCAATGTAAAATCGCCCCTGGATCCAAGCCAATTATTTTTTTGTCTAGACGTACAAGTCCTATAAAAATAATTGGTTTATTATATGTATCACGTGCATCGCACGGGGTATGCACTAGTTGGATATAATATACGAACTTATTGTTTCTATTTTTAATTGATGATTCTTGTACCACTTGGCTGAATTGACATGGTTAATTATTCCAGTTATAGTCTCTTTGACATTTTTAAATTTTTTTTTTAAGATTTAAATGATACCTATTAATTGAATAAATAAGGTACTTAACGCATTTTGTAGGGATATGAATCACCATCATATATTAATGTTTCATGACTTCTCAAAACCTATAATTATTAACAGCAAAAAAAAAAAAAAATATATAAAGAAAAAAAAAAATCTTCTACTACCCTACTTTTAATGAATCGATTACAACCTTACATGATACAAAATTTTAATATAGAATATCTAGACAAAAAGTAAATCGATGATACGTGCAAAAGCTAGTGTCAAAACACGATAAATAAAAATAAATTCTATTATAAAAAAACTAAAGGTATATGTTCGAGAATTAGCTCTTGGAAACTATAAAAAATAGTTAAATAGAAAATAGCAATATATATATTATATATATAATTATGGGTTCAACAATTTTCGTAGAACAATAATTATTAGATAACAATAAATAAAAATAAAGAAAATATATGCGTACAAAGATCTCAAAATACCATAAAACAATAATCAAATAGAAAAAAAAAAATTAAAATGCATGTACATAGGCTCAATAATTTATTATACAATGTAATTAAATAAAAAAATACATAAAAATTATGTGTAAACAAATTCTCATAGGATAGTAAGATATTGTTCTTTTTTTTAATACAAAAGACACAAAAATCTATATTTTTAATAGCATGTAATTTATTTATTTATTCTTGTACATATTATTTGAGTGGTTTTCTATCTACAGTTTTAGTTTTTAGAAAAAAAATAGAACAAAATTAATATGAGTAATTGACACAATTTAGGGAATTATGACGGAGAGAAAAGCCTATTTTTCTTTTTATATAATAACTCGTAGTTAGTTAACTAGGTGTAAGTAATTAAATATGACTTTACGTAGAGTTGTATTTAATTAAAAAATATGACTGTAAGTGCCAGTAAATTTGAAAGCTGACGGTATGGAAGACCACGCCAAATAATTTCCATATATATACTTCAACCTTAATTTCGTGGTTCTTTTTCTTATATTGTAATGGCCCATTCAAAAAATTATTGAGCCCTATAGTAACTTTTTATTGGGCCTTCATTATATACATGTCATATAGGTTTGTGCCCCCTTCCTTCAGCTTGGCCCTGGGCTGTTGCCCAGGTCGCCCTGGGCCAGGGCCGGCCCTGCCTATTAATAGATATAGATGACAAAAAATAAAAAATTATAGAAGATCATGGTATATAAAAAAATAGTGCATTGGATCAATATTAGTTAAATTTAGAATTTTGATTTTGAATTTATAGCAAATAAGTAGACGTGAATTCTTCCAAATTATACCTCCTTAATATGTTAATAAAGTTTAATTACATTCTTAATCATAGGAAAAAGGAAATAAATCTCAACAACTCACTATTAATTAGAGAGAGAGAGGGAGAATCGTTAATTACCCGACAAAACCGTCCAATCACTTTGACTATTTGGTTTGAAAAGTCGTGGTTCCGACTGATTTTCTAATATATTTTTTTTCAAATAATTATACAGTAAACAACATGATGCATGTTTATAATTATTTTATTGCGCGTTATTATATAATCGAATCCAAATTATTTCATTGTCTTAGAGTGTAATATCATTGCCTTGCCTTATTTTATTGTGCATATATATACACACACATATCCAGACCTGAGCTCATACAGCAAAGCCTTGTAAATCTAACACACACACACACACAGTCACACACTCAAAAACACAACAAGTACACAAATTTTTATTTATTTATTTTGAAAATTTAAACATTATCCAAAATGAAACTAGACGTGGAAGCCCAGGAGACAAGTATTGTTTTGCCGCTGTTGGCCGGCGGCGGATACGGTGGCCGTCCTCTTCCGGCGGAGGAAGACGACCGCCGTCAGTCGACGTCTTTCTTCAAGACATGCTTCAATGGCCTCAATGCTTTATCAGGTTACACATATGTTAAATATAAATCGTTATTATTTGGAGATTTTTTTTTTTAAATAATATGAGATAAATTTGTTGATAAGATTTATCTTGAATCTGTTTCTTTTTTTTGCTATATTATTATTAATTGGCTCATTGGAACGTATTAGTTGTCTTGCTTATCCTTTTCTATAAATCAATTAAAAATTTGAAGTAATGGTTGAAAATTTGTACTTCGTCTCTCTGTTTTTTTTTTTTTTTTTTTTTTTTT